TGGCAAGCCGATATTTATACGCGGTGAAACGCATCCTCGAAATCGGCTCTCCCGCGGAGCCTCTGCGCCTTCTGATTTCGAAACGACACCGCGTGCGTACAGCGTTCGCAAATCGCGAAACGATAATTTAACCAACAGCTCCTTATGACTACCCGGTGATTTCGGGACGGTTCATGTGTGTGTGTGTGTGTGTGTGCATGCGCGATACAGATGTCGGGGAGTCGCGCGAGGTGAGGTCGTTTTTGCCCGGTCAGTTTTTGCACGGATAGCCCGGGGTCGTTATTATCGCGCGATTAATGCTAAGCGATTTATGTCGCACGCGCGATTCGCCATGGACGAATTTATGATTCGCACGGAGTTTCGGCGGCCGCCGTGAGCGGATACATTGAAGAACCGGCCTCGCGCGACCATCGTGAACATCATCGTGCTCCACGTGGCACCGCACACTCCAATCGTTCATGAAGAGTGCAGGACGCTGCGCCTCGCACAGGATATCCTACTTTCCCCGGTGCCTTTCCGCGCATGCATTACTCCTAGATTACGACTCTCAGACATGCCTCGTGGTCCGCGAGCTAAAGATAGCAGCTTATTAACCTATTAGTATGCGCGCCTTCGAACGAATGCCATGCTGCTACACGTGTGAGGCCGCAGTCTTATCTGTTTACGCGTGCTTCACGCGCAGAATATCTAAACTGCCGTTTTACATGTATGACGCTCCTAGCGTTTACGCCATTCAACTAATACCGTGTTTCCTTTTGAGCCTTTCGCGCGCGCGCGTGCGCGTGCCAAGCTCTTTGAGAAGTTCATACAAACGGTCTTTCGCTCGCTTCTCTGCCTCTTCTTGTCCGTTCAAAGCCGCAAATCCTCTCACTGTATGCGAGCTGTATGTAATTTTCGCGGTTAGCGACAGTGACCCAGCCGCCAGTCGGGCCGGTCGCGTCGGGACCAGCTTGAAGGACTTTCTCGACGTGATCGTTAGCAGGCGCAATCGAATTCTCGTCGATCGATGAACATGATGAAGCGTCTAGATCTTGGCAGTTGTCCTCGATCTTGCACAAGTGTACGATACCCCGCCTTACGAAGTCATCGTTTGCTCTGAGATTCTCCGAGAATTCACGAAATTGGAAAAGCTATCGGATGAAAGTGCGAAACTGTTGTCGCGATCATTTTGAATCTTACGTCTTGCGAATTCCTGATTTTTGCGGAATATTTATATTGCTTGACGCACGTAAGGTATGAGTGTGTGTCTTTAATATTACGCGACGGGCGAGATTGATTTCCTGGAGATGTCGAGCGTTTTAATCGGATTTCGTGCGTAATAACTCTCGCAGCTTGCGGTTCGTTTGGAATTCTCTCAGAGGCGTTCATCGATCCGCGGGGGAAACGGTGAGTCTCGGTCGCAGTGTGTACGCATTCGCACTTTCGCGGTCGTGGGAACGCAGTTTTGACGGGCCGGTCGATTGGGGCAGGTCACGATCCGTCGAAATTATTCCTCGCGACCTCTCTCGGCTGGCAAACAACCACCAGTCCCTGGGGGAGATCAGTTAACAACGGTCTTTACGACTCACTTTACAAGACATCGAGAAATCCTCCAACGGAGTCGTAAAAGACACATCGGTCGTCGCTCGTGCATTATATCGCGTTACGCGAATGGCCGGACGAAGTTATTCGATAGACGGGAAATGCAGTCACGTCGAGTTACTATGGGCCGACCTTCGCTTGGTTTTATGTTTCGTCCTAGTATCGTAGATTGTTACTCTCGTCGTTGTGTTGTCGTCAGCTTACTCGCGGCGCTCTTCACGTACCAACAAAATCGCCCGTATTGTGTTGTCGCGTCGATCTGTACTGCGCGGGGCTAGTCCTTCTTTTTTGCGAAGCAAACGTCGAGTAACTTGAAAGGGAGGTATTGTTCGGCGAAGCGAAAAGAAGCGTTGTATGTATTAAATAATGGCGCGCCTCTGCGCTGCACGGAAAACATTTCATAATGCACTTCCGCGGAAACCCCGACGGCATTGGCAACGGAATGAGAGAGGTTGCAAAAAGGGATAGGGACTTGGCAGCACCGATAGGTGCTCTTTGGCACGCGAACTCGGTACACGACTTACGATGATGTGAAGGAAGCTCGAGAGAATTTGGATATAAATGTGTCGGATATTCATTTGGACGGGTCTCGTGCTTTTACATTCGTGCAAAAGTCGTGGTAAAAAGAATCACAATGATAAGGCAGAACAGAAGCTCCGAAAGCTTTCAACGGATTTATCGTCGGTAATTACGCGTGTGCTTGCGCTTTCGATATTGAGTTAGATAGGAAATTAGCTACACTGAGAGAAGAAATATCTTAAAAATGAAAGAAAAACATGTTTATTCGATGGTTACTAGTAACATATTTATTTAAACCCGAATTTTTTTATTCAAGTGGAATAAACAGTAGCTTTTACGAAAAGCTAATGAAAATGTACGTTTTTTATTTAAGAAATAACTAATAATTACTTAAATTCATATTCTTTTATTTAAATAGAATAAATAATTGTTTTTATGAAAAGCTAAGATTTTAAGAAAATATATATTTTCCTATTTAAAAAATATTTTATATTAGCTTAGACTATACCTGGTGTTACACGGGTTGTCACAAAGTATCAAGGGGATGAAATCAGGGAGAGAAGGTGGCTTGTCCAGGTTTCATGGCTAGCTAACCTATATTTTCTGCAGAGCCCTGGAGAGTAACTATGCAAAATTTGGTCCAGGTCGGTCAGAGGGTTTAAAAGTTAACAGGGAACATACAGACAGATATTCTATTATATATATATATATATATATACAGTGTGTTCCCAAAAGGTGGTACCAAATTTTAGGGGTATATAGTACTTGTTAAAATAAACCAAAAACTCTTAATGAACAGAATACTCCGAAAACCTTTTATTTCTGAATTATGAAGCATTTTGTTCTGTGAAAAATAGAAAATAACTAAAATTTACAGCAAATGTTCAATGTGCCTTCGGCTCATGTCAATACACATTTCGGCATATTTCGTCATTGAAAGTTAAAAAGTTCAGGTTTATTTGTTGACAACAGTTTCCAAGTCTCTTAGTTCATTCATGGACGTCCGTATGTGACCACCTAATTACGCAGGGATTGTTGTATTCAACTTTGGATTGTGAACCGTGTCTAGTTTTGTGTTATCTGAAAAATGGCTAATTTTTACACAAATTCTGAAATGACGGATATTTATTTTATGTATGGCAGAGCAAAGGGCAATGCTTCAAAAGCAGCACGCTTGTATCATGCAGCTTATCGGAATCGTCCAGTTGTATGGCCACCTCGCTCACTGGATTTAAATCCGTTGGATTATTATCTATGGGGACACTTGAAGAGCATGGTATATGCCATGCACCAGATGATACAATAGATGAATTGACTCAGAGAATTGAAAACTGTTGTCAACAAATACGGAATAAACTCGGAATCTTGAAACGTGTTCGATCTTCATTGAGGAGACGTGCCGAATTGTGTGTTGAAATGGACGGAGAGCACATTGAACATTTGTTGTAAATTTTAGTTATTTTCTATTTTTCACAGAACAAAATGCTTCATAACTCAAAAATAAAAGGTTTTCGGAGTACTGTTCATTAAGAGTTTTTGGTTTGTTTTAACGAGTACTACATACCCCTAAAATTTGGTACCATCTTTTGGGAACACCCTGTGTGTGTATGTGTGTGTGTATGTGTGTGTGTGTGTGTAAATAATAAGTAAATATATTATTAGTAACTACCGAATATTTTTTATTTCTTAGATATTTTTTTCTCATTATATTATCTGTCTTTGTTCTCTAAGTATTATTTAATTGTAATATATATTTATTGATAGAAAGCTTATTTGTAATTTTTAGGCTGAGTTGGTAAACTCTCTTCTTATCCTCCTTGTCCAATAGAAGAACTCTCTCATTGAAAAACGAATTCTCCTATTGAACAATACGGAGAGTACAAATTCACCCAAAACATTACGGACAATCTTTCTGTCGTCGTCTGTATAACAAGACTAATTGCGTGACAAAAAGAATACTCGATAAATTAATATAATAATGATATTAACATTAATTCTTCGTCTGAATATCAACTTTTACGTTGTGCATATCATACGAGATATATCGCGTTATTTCAGGTAGATTTAATCTTTCATCCCGTTATTGTGTCTAACCGCGGGACAATATTATGTTTTATTCCGCTTTATTGGGCAGATATTGTGTTCTGCGTACGCGTATTTACACAATTGTAATTAATATCGAGCATCATTCTGTCCATTGATCGCATCGGTCAACAGTGCGCTCCGGATGGCCAATTAGGTGAATTAATTACGTTTCCGCGTTCGCGACCGCCCCGGAGCTTTTACACGACGGCGAACGCGCAACGGCAACGATGCTTGGCGACGTAGCCGAACACGTCGATCGTACTTGCTTCGTTTCACCTTGATAAGCAAAAAACTCCCCCGATGAATAACGACACGCGCTTTTTAACGTCGAAATGCGTAAGATTTATTTGTTTCTCCCGGAATAAAAGTGTCACGGTTCTCTCCGCGGCACAAAAACGCCCCATAAATCGACTTCCGCGATCTGTTCGTCGACGTATATTAAATTCGCCGGGCCGCGGCAACGTCGACATCGACTCGCAGCGGATGTAGCACATATCGTAAATACACTCCGCGGTATTCTCGCACGATTAATTTATCAGGACTGTGGGAATTATTAAAAAGAAACACAGGGAAAAAAAGAAATGCAAAAGCAAAATTGACGTCAAGTCGCGCGGACTCTCTCTCGCGATTTTTCATATTCCTCCCGATAATTTCCATCATTACGTTTCGATTGACGAGCGAAACCGAACGCAACAACGGTCGATATTCAGATCTCTACTTGAAAATTGAATTGAAAGTCAGAAGCTGATTGAATTGAAAGCTGCCGCGATATGATTACGTGGCGGCCGACTCAATTCGCATTTTCGCTGTTTCAGACGATGCGATCGACCGGACTGTCCAGGTGGCTGCTGCTGGCGGGACTTTTGTGCTGCTCGTCCTGCCAGAGCGTACCGTCGTTCTTTGAGAATAAACCCGGTAAGCTTCCATTCACCCGTCGTCCTTTGCCGCCCTATACGTGACGGTGACCCGGCTAGAATGTCCCGCGGAATATTTTCCACCGAGTGGATAAGGGTTCGAAGGGATAGAGGGACTGCGCGTGTCTAATGTGGTGGCCTCGCCCGTCTTTCACGTCATTACTTTTGCAGAGTTTCGTGAAAAATTCACTCGCGCGAACTCGGTCCTCGATAAAAGACTTCTCGTTTCGAGTAGATGGGGAACGCTGGACAATAAGTCACAAGGACATACATCCCATTACTTCCATGTGATTTCTTAATAAAGCAAATTGAGTCTTCTCAAATTTCATGTCTAACGATAGAGATTTTTTCGAAGAAGGTTAACAAGAGACTCTCACGAGTTTCTTCAAAGGAAATATCAAAAGACATTTCTTAACAAAGATAACGAGAGGTTTCGTCAAAGTGGTATTAATTTATGGCGCTTGTATCGGCACGCACATTTCAGTCATTAAATTTCGCAAAATTGAGCGTGAAAACGACCGTTAAATTGAGCGCCTCCTGAACGTACTGGTTTAAATGTCCTTCTAATTTACTTTCAAGAACTCCTTCAAAATTATGCACGAAAACTGTACTAAAAGTGAAACGAGAAAGAGTACAATGAAATATGTAATAATTTGTATCGTGGAGAAAGTATTATAGTTTTTTCCTTGTTCTCATATCAATTCGTTTCAATTTTACTATATTTTTATTAATGCAATAATAAATCGTCAGCTTATTTTGCCAAAGAATATAGCAATTTTTTTAATAATACATCTTATTATTTAATTATATCAAATTATATTCACATTAAACTGTATAATTGTGTATATATAACAATAAGTATATTGTCATATATACACAAGTATATAAGTAAGTAAAATAAAATATAATAGCTTATGAAAAAAAATCAATTGCAGCGAAATGTCGATCTATTTCTCGGTTACTATGCAATAATTTTTAGAGTAAAATTGTCTCCGTATAAAATTTAAATCAATCTTTTATAATTCACGTCCAATGTGTAAAATTAGCTGAGACGTGTTAGAGTTAATAATTATTTATAATTTTCTTCACGTGTAACCGGATCGTTATCGTCTCTGGGCTACTTTTGCCCGGCGAGCTCGCTATTTTTCACAGCGCAGGACTTATCTATCGAATCGCGTCGGAATTCACGGGGCGTCCGACAGTGCGAAAGCCGGCGAGCGCGCTCTGCGGGTACTTCGATCGTCGTATTGCGGGCGAGGAGGCTGCGGGAAAAAGATTCGGGCTGGCACGTCGAAGAGCGCGACTTTCCGTCGCGTCGCGACGCGACGCCACTGGCAGCGGCGCCCCGGCGCTGCGTCCGACGTCCCAGTAGGAATCCGATTTCCCACTTTTTGAACCGGAAATTGGATCTCGGCGGCGGTGGCGACGGTGGTGGCCCAGCGAGGTGGCGACCTGGCGCGAGCAGTTAATTGAAGACACATTGTCGCGTGTCCGGGTCAGTTGGTCGCGCTCTTGCCGAAAAAGGAACGTCGATAGATCGATTTGTCAGAGAACGTCCGGCCATCCGTGAAAAACCCTTCGACTCGAGCGTCATAAATGTTGCCGATTCTTCGATATCCGATGGTAATAGTGGCCACACCTTCTCCCTTGAAATTCTGCGCCGTTTCCGACACATTGTGGTGGGACAACGTATGACGAAATCGACGAACGTCAGATCAAACTCATCCGAATTTTATTCAGCTTGTTTCGCCGTACGTCGCGGTATGACCGGTCCCGTCGATTTATTTGTTGTTTTATCCACTCGCCTGTGCGAGAAGTTTATCTCTATAGATATGGGGAAAAGTTAATATATAATGGGAGGTAGAGGCAGAGAAAGAGAGATGGAGATAATCTATTATATGCCGCAGTGAGATGTCATTTGATAGGTAAACGAGATGAGTATCGATTCGAGCAACTCCAAATCAGCTGCCGAATACTGCTAATGATCTTAGCGTTAGCTTTCATTAAAATTAGTCGTACGTCACGCGCTTGCATACGTGCATGCGTCTCCGCATCAGTGCGTATCAGTGGGGCGGGTCAGTGGGTCACTCTACTCGCTGCTAAAAGACATTCGCGCGCGCTTGGACGTGGGTTCGATTAATTCGCGAGTGCCACGTCACAAGCGGTGCGTTTCGACGAGGGCGATCCAAGGGTTTTCACCTGGAAATGCAATGTTGCGTGCGGAACAAACAAACTGTTCCTTTGTAATAGCGTTATAAGCGGATAACTAAGTTTCGTAAACTGCATAATGCAACAAGTACAATTGGAGCTCTGAAATGCGATTAACGCGATAAATATACGTGACGATAAAAGTCCTTGCAGGTCTGCGTAAACAATTTTTTTTCACGATAAGTACTGCCTAAGTAGACTTCTGCAGACTAGTCTTTTGTGCTCGGTTTTATTTGAGCTAATTTATATATATAACCCTTTTTACAGCGAATATATACAAAATACGGATTGCATTCAAGCAAATGTTATTCATTTCCAGTGCTTCATAAGTTTATATATTCGCAAATCTGTCACAAATTCGTCATGAGCATAACATTTATCCAAGATACTTTCTAAATCTTAATAAATTTGACATTTCTATCAAGAATATTAATTTAGAAGAAAAATAAGGTTACTAAGAGTCGAATCAACTTTTTCTTCGTCAAAATTTTATAATATTCTTGTGAGGAGAATACATTTTTCTTTTGGGTACGTGTCAGAGAGCTTTTATAAAATTTATGATAAATATATTTTAAGATTATTTTTTACCAAGAAAATATTTTCTGCTATAAAGGTAAAGATTACTTAAGGAAAGAAAAGTAGATTGAGTAATTGCTTTTCTCAGCAGCAGAACAATATTTTTCTACGTGTCTAAGCGAATTTAAGAAATATTTTGCAGACAACTTCTTCCTTCGACTTCATATTTTATATAGCTGATTTATACAATTAATTCTGAAAATCCGCATTTTCATAATTCTACAAGCTTTTCTGTCGAAATTGTATAAATTCTCAGACTTACATTTATTTACTTCTTTACGTGCACGCGCGCGCGACTATTAAGTATTTCAACCATTTATAAATTCCGCTTAAAGTGTAACACCGTAGTCTACTTTGAAAGGAAAAGCGAGTCGTTGCGACACTCAGATATTTAATTTAGAAATTGATCGTTCAAGCGTGGCGAGCGGGTAATCAAATTGTCGCGCGTACTAAGCTCTCTCGTAGAAAACGCTTTGTCCAGTCGTTACGCTCATCGTTCGCAGGACTCTCGCGTCCGTGAATAACATAAATTACAATTTTTAATTCGCGACACGTAGGAATAACGCGTCGGGAAAACGACGTTCTAGCGGATTTCTCGCCTCGCCCTGCCGCGCGCCTCGCTGTGCCGAGCGTTGTTCTACTTTCAAACGACGCCTGACACAAAAGTGCGAGAAAATAAGCGCGCCGCGCTTTTATCGCGCGCGCTCACAATGGCCAACTTTGCATTTAACGTTCCCCCTTAACCTTTGCACTCCCCCGCTGTCGTCGAATGCGGCTGCGAGCGGCTCGCCCGCCGTCCTCTGTTTCGCGCACATCGCGCTCGTTGACCTGCGGCAAAATCCGCGAGGAACATGATTAATCCCCTGGCTGCGCTTTTTTCCCCCGCAACTGGACAAATGCGGCGTCCATTGTTCGGCGAGTTCGCTTCCGTATAATTGACGCCCGGCCGTTTCTCTCGTTCCGCGCAAGATTCTCTCCACGAAATCCGAAAATTTCTTCCGGATTGTCCCGAGACACTAGGGGGAATTTGGCGAAATAGGGGAGAAGCGCGGAGTAAAATCGCGCCAGCCGCGCGCTCAAGCGTGACCAGCCGCGACGGGTCGGAAAATTCGCTCCGCTACGCTAATTGCGAGCTTTAAAAATTAAAATAATCGATAACCGCCGTGACGCTCGGCGACTGTATGCGATTCACCTCTCGCGATTCAACTTTGATGAAAGGGCCGGGCGGGCTCGAGCGTCCGCGTCGCCGCTCATCAATATAAATATAAAGCGGAGAATCATCGCGCTGCGGATTTTCCGGCGAACGTTCTCCAGCAATTTTCGCTAAAAGCCCCGGTCGTTGCAGCGTAATGCCGCGGTCAAAGACTCCGATATACATCACTCGTGGCGCAATTGCGGCCGACGCAGAATATCGTTGTCGATTCTAATAGGGTGTAATATACGGCGCGCTTCCACGGCGCAAATTAAAAGGGAGAAGATACAGCTGCACATTTTGTACGCTCGATTTCGTTCGGCATTGTACCACTTCCCGGCGAAACAAGCGGCGCGGCCGCGGGAATATGTGTCGCATATAAGCGTAATACGAACAAACGAGCGGGAAAATAATCCCACGCGCGGCCGCGACATAAATGTACGCACACAGGCGAAAGTATAATAACGCTTTTGGTGGCTTTATGCATTCGTGCCGCGATTCTCTCGCTACGTTCGCTTCTCACGCTTTGTTCGAAGTGCCGGGAGAGATTTTGCCGCTCTTTTCCTCTTTCTCTTTGTCTGCTTTTATTTTTTATATTGCGCTTAGACTTTGCGCGATTACATGCAATTACACACGGTACAAAACTTTGGGCCCGTGAGCAGTCACGGACATACACTGTACACGCGTCTTGATTCGCTAATTCCAGGCGAGGTAAATTTCCGATCGTTGCGCAATGTGTATGGCATCGCGCGAATTAAATGACGACGCATCGTGATGCAGTACTGAGCTTGTAATGTGTCTGATAATTTGATTGGAATGGTTTTATGTAAATGATCGAGCAACATTAATGCTCACGGTGGACGCGTCTCTCGCGAAATTTCAAATTTCGTTCTCGGCGATTATATCAGCGCACGCTCGGTTTGTTACATTCGCGCGTTACCTCATGTCTCGCTTTACATCTCGACTCTCGGCACCTTCTTTTTTCGCGAGCCCGAGATGATCATTTGCATAATAAGAAGGAACAG